CTGCCTCTGTGTCTGGCTAAGAGCCTTTCAAGAACGGAAGAGTGGACAGAGCATGCAGTTTTGGAGGTCCAGGAGTCCAGGGCCCGGTGTGCTTGGGGGGGCAGGGAGGCAAATCTTCATCAGGCCTGATGGGGGAGCACTTCACTCAGGGCCCCCGGGACCAGGATAGGACTGAGGCCAGGGAGACAGGGGTCGGTGGCTGGGGCAGACCTTGCAGACAGTCTGGGCTGCGCAAAGGAGCTGGCGGGCACAGGGCCCAGCTTCACGTGGATGGCTGTGGGGGAGGCTGGAATTGTAGACTATTTTTAGGCTCCTGATGGATTGGATGCTGGAGGCTATAGCCCTTGCTCTCTGGGGAAAGACTGAAGTGGCCCAGGCTCCCCCTGAAGCTCAGCGTCTCCAAAGCTTTCTCTTTTGTCCCTAGAGACTAGGGGCTGGGGCCAGGATGTAGACCGGAAGCATGCTCAGTACCTCCAGACATGCAAATGCCCATAAGGGATTTTCATATCATCTGCACTCTGCCCTCATCTGTTTCCACATCAGAAGGAACAGGAAGTTTTCTTTCAGAAGACCTTTGGCAGAGCAGTGCATTCACCTGAGTCCACCTCCAGCTGCCCCTCCTGGGTATCAGGAACGTCCAGAGAAGGTGGACGTTATAAAGCTCTAAAATCAGAAAGCACAAATGGGATTTTAGCAGGGAAGCACATATGTTCCATCTGATCACTTGGCAGGACTCCCTGAAGAGCAATGTTGACGAGGATTCACTCATTCACTCCACAAATAATCACTGAGTACCTGCTATGTGCCAGGCACTGTTCTAGGTGCTGGAGATTTAACTCTGAGCAAAAATTACAAAACGCCCCCAAGGAATGGCTATTCTACAGCAGTGCTGCCAGACAGAAACACATGTGAGCCACAAAGATGATGTTGAACTTTCTAATAGCCACATTAAATAGAAGTTAAACGAGACAGGCGAGGTGAACTTTTATAATGTATTTTATTTAACCTGGTATGTCCAAAATGTTTCATTTCCATGTGTAATTAATATAACAATTTATTAATAAGATGAATTCTTTTTTCACACTACATCTTTGAAACCCAGTATGTTCTTTTCTTACGGCACATCTCAATTCAGCCGAGTCACATTTCAAGTGCTCAGGAATCCTTGGAGAATGCAGTTCTGGACGAAACTGCTCATCTGCGCTCAGGAGAAAGGAATGCCACAGTTGATTAGTGACGTCTGCTGTGGACCTAGGCAGGACCCCTGAGCTGGATAATGTGTTTGCCTCCGTCTTATAGGCACAACCCCAAGCATGTGTTCCCATGTTCATCGTCCCCCGCCAAGCCATTTTGAGCCCGCTCATTTTGCCCCACCGGAGAAAACTGCCAATCTGACTTCTGGGGCTTTACTCAGGTGTGGGTCCAGCAGTTCTGACAGGGGGACCACCCGACCAAAGGCACCAGCACCTAACAGTTTAAGTGCCCCCTGGGTGTGGTCCTGTGCTCCTTCCTCTCCTGTGGGCTGGCTTGTGGACACTGGTGACCCTGGGAATGTGGGTTTTGTTTTTGTTTTCTTCCCAAGGCCTCTTCCTCCCAGAGTTGAATAATATCAACAGAAAAGTATTTCCTGAGCCTGAATTAGCCATTTCAGCCCCACTCCAACAGCCCACGCCCGCCCGCAGACTCCTGCAACCCTGGCTGGGATGGTCCAGCCCAGACTCTCCACTTGCTTTTCTAGACAATGAGAAGCTAAAACTGGGCCATGGAGGCAGCTGGAAATGCCTGAGGGTTGGGAGGTGGGTGGTGGGGTGGTAAGCTTGGAGTGAGGGAGGCAGGGATGAGGTATGAGAAAAGCTGTCATTAGGCCCCCATCATCCTTATAGTCATCATTCACCCCAGCCCTGCTCAGAATGCTTCAGTGGATCCCTGGAACCTACAGGATAAAGATCTAGGGCCTTAGACCCCAGGAGCTGGCACTGACGGAGTCATTCGATCTCATTTCCGGATGTTCACCCCTCTTTCATCTTATTCACTCAACAAGAATACTTTGCAGGCACTGTTCTAGGTGCTGGCATGCAGCGGTGACCAAAACTGACAAGTGTCTCTCTGCCTTCCTGGAGCTCCCATGACTCCTGCCAAGTCCATAACACTCGAGGGCCCTCACCCGCAGCCCCCAGCCTAGGCCTGTGCAAATGCTGTTCCCTCTTCCATTCTTCAGTGACTTCTCTACCCCGGGGACGGGGTGGGGGGGACATTTATGCATCCTCTAAAGCTTATTCAGTGCTTTCCCTGACCACTCCTCCAAAATGGGTTGGGTACCCACCCAGCCCCATCACCGGTATGGTTACCTCCCAGCCCCACATCTTCCTCCCCTGCAGGCGGTGAGGGCTTGAGGGCAGGGCCTGTGCCTTTCCCCGCCAGGAGCCTAAGGCCTGGTTCCAGGTGCACCCACCCTAATGCTCCGTCTTCCCCCCAGCTCAGGACTGAGCAGGAGAGGCATGAGGGTGGGGGTTATCAGGACTCCTCTGAAGAATTCAAGGTCATTCTGAAATTTCCGCCTGAGATCATCCTACTCCTGTTATTCCAGGGGAGAGAGAGAGGCTAAGGTACAGAGTGTTTCCAGCAAAGATACATGGAGGACTGAGGGGAGACGGGGATAGAGAAGACCAGAGTGCTCAGGGCTGTGAACACTGGGTCAGGACATTGGGACCCACCTAGTCTGCAGGTAGAGGGAGCTGTTAAAGGGTTTCAAGCAGCAGAGAGATGAGAAGGCAGTGTTTTCCCCCAAGGGAGGTAGGATGGCTGGGTGCTGACCCACTGAGGGTAAGCCTTCATGGCCCTTTAGATGAATGAAGCAAAAGGAGGCATAAAGGAGGCTCCCGTTCCCTGCTGGCTTCTCCAGGAGAGCTGAACGTTGGTTTTTCACAGTCCTGCTCTCTCTTTTTGTGCCTCGCCTCCCCTGGGGCAGGATGCACAAGACAGAAAGCAGAAGGACAGGCCTGGCTTCTGTCCCTGGCCCCCAAGGGGCTGGTGTTGGTGCCCTCATATTATGTGGATCTCCATTGCCCCCAGGGCCCAACCTAATGGTCCAGCCACCCATTATCCCCAAGGCCCACCGTGCTGCTTGTCCATCAGTGAAAGATAGAGCAGGAGCCTTGTGCCTGGCCAGCCCCCTCTCTGCAGGCTCATTTACATGGGATTTACACGGGCTCATTTCATGCCTCGATGCACTCGGCTTCCCGCCCTACTGCCCGCCTGGCCTTTCCCGGTGCCTCCATAGAGACAAAGGAGTGTGTTCTGTCCCTCAAGTTCCCTGCTGTAGGCCCATAGGGGCACCAAGAGAATCCCCACAGGAAAGAGGGAGCTTGTTCAGGTCCAGAGAGGACAGGGACCTCACTGGAGGTTGCCCAGCAATCCAGGCAGGACCAGGGCTTGAGCCCCACTTTCTCCCCTAGCTGCTCCTGGAAACTTCTCTTTCCCTACCATCGAGGGCCTTGCAGAGGGGGCATCTGTGAAGCCCCTGTGCTGCTGCTGCCTGGCTGTGAGCTGGAAAAACAGACCGAGTCATTGACTCTGAGCTCCTTCCAAAGACCAAACTGGCCTTAGAACCCAGAACAGTGCACAAGAAGAGGTCCCTCAGAAGCCCCTCCAGCCCCTTCTTCTTCATCATGCAGAGAATGAGGCTCAGGAAAGGCCAAGTCTGCCTGGGAACATGAAGAGTGATGGCGGCCCCAGGTCTCTGCCCCAGCCCAGAACTCATTGGGGTCCCCGACTCCCAGACTCCTGGCCTGAGCACCTGCTGCCACCTTGGTCACCCTAGGAAGGCAGGGTGTTGGGGAGGAAAGAACCAGGCAAAACCTTCAGCCTGGGGCTGGCCCAGGAGAGCACAGGGCAGACTGAAGGGGAGGGAGTGACTCTGGGTCTGGGGGTAATTCCAGCCCTGTGGGGTCTGTGAGCCACCCACAAGCTGGGCTCAGATTCAAAGAGGGGAGCCGTCGTCCCAAGCCTGCCACAATTCCCTCCCCAGTAGTTACTGCTCCAGGAAAATCTCCTAACAGGCCTGGGAAAACTTCAAAAGGCCTGGGTCCCTAGGCAAGGGGCAGGAGAGAGGGGGACAAAGGGGAGGGGAGGGGAGAAGATGGGGAGTCCTCTGGGGGACATCTGGGTTCCTCTCCACACCCCCCACAGGCCCCACCCTCCATCCCTGGTCCTTAGCCCTGCTCACCATCCCCCTGAATGGTCTGCAACTCCCCTCCCTGCCTCTCACCCCTGTCTCTGGGGCCTCTTTTCACACATCCTTTGGGATTCTAAAACCTTGGAGGGAGCTCAAGAGTTTGTAAGGCACAAATTCCACCCCAGCCCTGTCACTGCCCTGGGATTTGAAAAGCCAAGCTCTGGGGCTAGCAGACAAAGCTCGCCCACCAGTCCCTCCTTGCTCTGCAGCCGTCCCCTGGGCATGCAGCCCGGCCCCGGCCAGGCCTGCTGGTCCTGGCAGGAGCAAGTACCTGTCTTCACTGAGGCACCACCTCCCCCGCCCTCCAGCCTCCTGGCCACACACATCCATCACCACAGGCTTATCCCCCCGGGGTCTTACTTGATCAGATTTCCCGCCCAGAATGGACCCCTTGAAGGCAGAGAGGCTGGAGGCTGCTCCGAGCCAGGCCCCTCAGGGGAAGTGTGTGGGTGGGGGCAGGTAGTGGAGGCTGGGAAGGGGGAAAGGCCTGCTCTTGAGGTGTGGGGAGAGGGGGGTGCAGGGGCTGAGCCCAGGGTCACGGCTCGGCAGGCAGCACACTGCTCAGGAGCTGTGGGTTCAGCTCCCACTCCTGCCTCACGCTCCGGGAGCTCTGCTGAGCGCTTCTTCAGCTCCAAGGCTGGAAGCTTGAGAGGACCAGGGACAGTGTGTGATGCTCCTACCGGCAGGAGGTGCCAGATCGTGAACAGGAGCCCCGCACCCTCACCCCCTGACCAGAATGGCTTTGAAGGCAAGGAGCAGGCCCAGATAAATAAATAGCTTGTTTATTAGTAATATGTTACATTATTAAAGTGCATTGAGAAGAGATGCAGGGGCCAAAGCTGGAAGGCCACCAGCCCCAGGCCCTGCCCCAGGCTGGCCAGACACAGCCAGAGAAGGGCCCAGCTCTCTGCTGAAATCCATGGACAGGGCTGGGGCAGAGCCGTCCACCTGGAGAGCATGGCCCAGGCTGTCCCTACAGGAATTCACAGTTTAGCCTAAGTTATAACATGTCCTGAGCTGAAGGTGGGAGGCTAGGAGCATGGAAGCACAGCCCCTGGGGAAGGGGGCTGAGGGGAGGGGAGGGGGCCCCCCCGCCCCCCAACCCCCAATGCCAAGGGCAGAGTCCTGGAACCTCCCCCTGAGGACCCGGCTCCTCCTTCTAAATGAACACGGTGAACCTAGGGCTCAGTTTTCTCCTTCATTCTCCCCTGTCTCCCTCACCCCACCCCCCCCATATCCACCCCATGGCGGGGGCTTGGACAACGTCCCCCTCAGACTGGGCTCCCAGGGCAGAGCCAGCTCATGCCACTCTCATCGAACCCATGCCCATCCCTGGACTCATCCCATCCCCAGGAGCCACAGACTGGGACCCCCCATGACCCATCCCTTCCCCAGCCCCTCCCTTCCCCACCCCACCCCCAGCATGTAGTTTTGGTATTTCATACAGATGCAGTCAGAAGTAGCTATACATGAAATAAGCCTAACATAAAAATAGAGCTTTTTCCGTCCTTCTGTCCGGAAAGCAAACATCCTTCAATAAACATGCAAGGCAGCTGCCTAGTGGGATCCAGGGCTGGCGAGGTGGCCACAGAGGGCAGCCCTGGGCCTGCAGGAACACTAGCCACCCCCAGCCATGGCAGGAGGGAGGATGAGGGGGCAATTTGGGTATCAAAGTCCAGAAGGACTCAGGCCTCAGCCCAAAGGTCCAGAGATGGGGCCCCAACTCCCCTTTCTTAACCCCACTCTCCGGCCCAAAGGCTCTTGGGCCAAGAGCCACCTCTGCATTTAGTCAAGTTTGAGGAGGAGTTTTTGAAAAATAGTCGCCAGAAGATAAAATCGTGGGTCATCAATGCCCCAGCTTCACAGTCAGAGCCTGCGTTCTCTGGCCCAAACCACCCCCACCCCACCGGGGCCCAGCAGCCGCCTGCGGCTGGCCATCTCCAGGCCTGGCGTCCTCCACTGGGTTATGCAGTCCCCCTGGAAGAAGTGATGGGCAAGGAGCTCCAGGCCCGGCCAGTTCTGAGTGTGGGATTTTTCTAGGGCCTTGGGGCTGCCGAAGCCTGCAGCATGCCAGCCCCAGGAGGCCCTAATGGACCAGCAGGCCAAAAGCAAGTGTGGGCATGACGCCCAGCCAGAGGGAGGCAGCCAGGGTGCAGGCATGGCCCAGCAGGTGCGAGGCCATGGCGCCGTCCTCCCGCAGTAGCTCCCAGTGCTGAGCCTCGCGGAGGTAGGAGCCCTCCTGGGCCTCGCAGTAGTAGTGGCCGTACTGGAGGTCCGTGAGGTTCTCAATGAACAAGATGCAGTTGGGGCTCTGGTGGCCGGGCTCACAGCTCTGCTCCACGTTCTTCTCATGGCGCCATGAGTAGGTGGCGTGGCGGGACTCCATGGGGCAGCTCAGATAGTAGCGAGAGTTCTGGGCCAGGGACACCTTCTGCAATGGGGCCTCTTCTGGGGAGGGATGGGGAGGTAGCCGTAAGGAAGGGCTGAGGGCTCCCAGGGCAGGCTCCCAGGCAGGGCTCCCATGGATGGGCCTCCAAGGCCAAGGTTTCTAAGTGAACACGGGGAAACTAGCACCCAGTCTCCTTCTTACTCTCCACGGCCTCCCTCACCCCACCGCTCACAGTCACCCCCACACCAAGGGGGATCCTTCCACAGCACTGTCCTGCCCCATCTGTCTGGGCCCCCAGGACCAGACTATGCCTCCCTCAGACAGGGCAGTTGGGGCATGGCTGTACCACCCTCACTGGACTGCAGCCTCCGGGCGGGGCCAGCGCAGGTACCTGGCTTTGGGTTGGGGCACTCCCTGTGTGGCTCGGTTGGATTGATGGACTGCAGCACTGGCCTGGAGTTGGAAGAAAGAAAGAGGCTAAGCAGACAGGAGGCCACCGGCCCGGCCCCTTCCCTGTCCTCAGCCCTCACCCAGTATCAGCTGTGATGCCCACCCAGAGGAGGGTCTGGCCAGAAGGGATGCCTCCCGTAGCCCATTGACCCCCACTGCTGTGTCCACCTTCTCTGAGGGACAAGGGATCCCAGACAACATACCCTTGGGAGCTGTAGATGGAGACACAGCGGTCCTGGTACCAGCCGCAGTAGGGATCTCGAGCCATGAGGCAGCCGTGGCAGCCCCCGTTGTAGACCTCACACAGGTCCAAGGGCACCTGGCTCACCTCCCACTGGGAGCTCACATACAGTTTCCGCTGGAAGGAGAGAAGACTGGGTCAGGTCAGGGCCCCCAGTCCAACTGAGTTCTAAGCCCTAGGCCCTAGGGCCCAGAGGCTCCAAAAAGGACATGCAGTTCACATGCAGAGGAGCTCTGTCCTCAGCTGGCCTTCACTGGGCAGCCCCACAGGGCAGGGTAAGAAGGCTCACCCGGTCAGCGTCCAGCAACATGGCCTGGATGGCGGCTGCTCGGTGGAAGGGCTGGATCTCCAAGATGTTGAAGACAAGGCTGTGTTCCCGGTCCCCTGACTCCACCACCTTGTGGATGGTGCCCTTGTCTGTGGGTGAGGGTCACAGGGTCAGCGGGCGGGAGTCCCACCACGGAGACAGGCAGCCTCCCTCTGGACTAAGCTAATCAGGAAAGACCCACTTCAGGGAGGGCTGGGAAGCTATGGCTCAGGTGAGGGTCATAGGACTGGGCCAGGGAGGCCAGCCCAGGAGGCCCAGGGCTCCCCAAGGCCGCAGGCAAAACCGGAGCATGAAGAACAAAACCAGCAGTCCCACACGCCCCCAAGCACTGTGTCAAGCTGCTACATTTAGCTACATGCATTAGCATTACGTCCTTTAACCCTCCACAGCCCTGGGAGGTGGGTATTATCTTCCTCACTTCACAGATAAGGAAATAAGATTCAGAAAGGCTAAGCAACTTGCTCAGGGTCACACAGCTAGTGACTGGAATCCACAGGGGTCAGAATCCCACTCTTCAACTTCTTCTATAAACTTTCTGCTTCCTGGACTCTTTGGGATTTATTTTCTTTGAATAAATTTGTTATTTTGGGATAATTTCAGACTTACAAAAAAGTTACAAAGACAGTACAGAGAATTCCCGTACATCCTTCGCCCAGTTTCCCTCAACGTTACCGTTTTATGTAACTGCAGCATTTGTCACGGCTGAGCAGTTGACGCCAATACATCATTATTAACTCAACTACAGACTTTACTGGGATTTCACAGGTTTTTCCACTAATGTCCTTTGTTCCAGGATCCAATCCAGGATTCTGACTGCAAGCAGTCTGGGGAATTTTTAAATTTTTATAAAATCTCAGATCTGAAAAGGACCTTAGGTTCCACATAGGGATTCCCAAGGCCACACACTGGGCTGCCTGCCTCGGAGCCCAGTGCTCTGCATTCGCACCTGTCAGGGATTTATGGGCAACCTGACCTCTGGGTCCTCCCAATCCCACCTCACCAGCTGTCCCAATTTCTAGAATAGCCTACCTCCCTCTCCCACTCTCCCAATTTCCCAGGGCATCACTTGCCCCCAAAAAAAGCAGTCAGATGATTGGATGATTGTCCGCCTAGGACATTTTGTCTATGTGTCTGTGACCCCCTTCAGCAGGCTCTGGGATGTGGCCCCATGCTCCTTTGGCCTGACAAGCTCCCGGCCCAGTCACTACCTTCACATACACACACACACACTGCCCTTCACCTCCTCCATCTCAGCCCAGCAACAGCCTGCCACAGCTTCTCCCAGCTATGAGAGCCTCCCATTCTCTGCAGAGGACTCAGAAAGTTCTCTTTCTTGTCTGACCTCAATCCTTCCCTGCTGCAGGCTCCAAAATGGTTCTCTCTGATGGCCCTCAGGGGGAATGGAGACAAATGCACTTGCCTCCCAGTTCTGCAGGAAAGGGGCCCACAGTTCCCTCAGCCCAAGCCCAGCCTTCCTTGTCCTGGCTCCTGCTCCCAGTCCCACATCATGTGATCCCTTGTCTCCTGCACCCCAATGCTCTGCTGTCCCCCTGGCTGGCTACAACAGCTAGGCCAGCTGCTGCTGGAGCAGAACAAAGACAGGAGCCAAAGGGTGCGGCCACAGAAGGGTAGAGCTCAGTGGTAGAGCGCATGCCTAGCATGCACAAGGTCCTGGGTTCAATCCCTAGTACCTCCATTAAATAAATAAATACGTAAACCCAATTACCTGCCTCCATCCCACAAAAACAACCACCACCAAAGATCAATTAAAAAAAACAACAACAAAAAAAAATAAAGGGTGCGGCCAGGATGAATGGAAGAGTAAAGAGGTGGGTCTCAGGACTTAGAAACCAGGACTGTTAATGGGAAATTACTCTCCCCAAGACTCCCAGGAGCCAAACAACCTATGAGGCCACCAGGAGAAATCCCCAAGGTGAAGCAGCAGCAGGAAGCCACATGAGGAAGGTGTGAACAACTGAGGAGGGTGGTGCCAGAGGGGCCAGGCATCTGGGGGAGACACCGCCTTTCTGATGGCACCACCACCAGTCTAAGGAGGGTCTGCAGTTCCCCCAACACTGATCTCCATGCTGGCTCCCAGCTCCCTCTGCCCACAGCCTGGGACCAGGAAGCTGCTATAAAGCCAGCTCAGGGCTAGCTCATTCAGGGTCAGTGAGTTCCTGGAGTGCAGGGACATCTCGCAGGGCATCCCACGCAGCTTTAGGAGTCAGCAAGACCCTGCTCTCCTAGAGGAAGAGGGAAAGGAAGAGGAGCAGCCCCTGCAGTCCTCTGCAAGACCCTGCAATGGCTCTGCTATCTGGCAGTCCTTCATCACATCTCACTATACTCTGTATCCCACATCAAAGGTTCCCTCTCACCTACAGAATCTCAAAGACAAGGAGAGGGTCCAATTTCCTCACTCTGCCTGGTGGAGGCCCATGGGACACCCCAGGACCAGCTCCTTCCTCCTGACTTTCCACATCTCTTCCTACCATCTTTAGGAGCCAGACAGCTGGATCAAAGCTGCACCCACATTTCTGCCTCGGAATCTCAGTACCTGCTCTTCTCCCAGCCTATGATGCCTTTCCCTTGTCCCTCTGCCCCCCCTCCTCCAGGAAGTTCTCCCTGCATGACTCTTCCACAGCCACACACACTAACTTCTGACAGCTCTGAGTCACTCAATTCTTCCTTCCAGGTATAAAGATCCAACCAGATGTTAATTATCTTATTTTTTATACTTTTCATACCCATTTTTACAAAGCAGACCGGGGGTTCCCGGGGCGGCCCCTCACCTGTGGTTAGGTAAAGCACGTGAAAGGTCTCCCCATTGCTGGCGTGCATGCGGTGGACGACCACTTTCTGGTAGTGGTACTTAGAGTGGAACAGTGGTGTCTTCAGAGGCCCCATGGGCTCCACCCTCTGTACCACCTCGGGGTGACTGTCGGCCACCTGGAAGGTCTCTGTGGGTATCGGCTGCCGGTCTGGGAGGCACTGGTCAAGGAGAATGGGTCCAGATCAGTGGGGTGGCTGGGAGGTGGGGCCGGGGCCTGGGCTGTGGCGGGTGTCACTGCTCACCTTGCCAGGCCGAGGGTTGGGAAGGCCTGCATGGTAGCCCTTGAGTGAGGAAGTGCGGAAGACCTTGTCAATGTCGCCGAGGGAGTACACGCAGACGGCTGAGTAGTTCCTGGAGGGAAACAGAGACCACTTCAGTGGCAGCCCAGGACCTGCCCACCTGCACTCGCCCAGGCCAGCCTAGCACCAGACAGGGCATAACTGCAGCCCTCCAACCAAGCTCCCTGGCCTTCAAGGTCCATGGGGGCCAGGACTATCCTGGAGGCCAAGGCCAGTGCCTGAGAATATCAAATACCACTGAAGGAAGGAGGGAGGGAGGAACAGGAGGAGGCAGGGAGGGAAGTTCAACATAATTTCTTTCTGCTGCAATCTAAAACCATAACCTGTATTCTGCCACAGAATCACTGAACACAGAAGTCAGCCTCGGAGCAGGAGAAATTCCGTGTGCATCCTTGGGATACTATGTCCAAGGAAGCCAGCCCCCTGTTCTTTTCGCAGCCCTCTGGGTCCACCCAGGAGCCCCAGACAGAGTCTTGGATCCCCACTCTGTCCCCACCCTGTCCCCTACCTCTCCCCACACACACCCAACACTTGCCTGCCTTGTTTTGAATCAATGAGAGTGATTAAGAGGTGTGAATTATCAGGCGCAGGCAATGTCTGAGTGGGTGTGATAGCGCCCAGCACCCGGAGAGGCCTCAGCAGCCTCTTCCCAGGGCCCAGCACCCACTCTGAGCACACCGCTGGCGGACATACAGGCACAGCCGTGAGCACCACATCCGGCACGTGCTCACACGCCCGCCTGGACAGACTCACACAGCAGCACACACATCTCCCTGAGCACTGTTTGTCCTCCCACCCCAGGCCCAGAGAGGAGTCCCTTGAGCCTGGAGTCCATGCTCTCGCCACTGCATTGTCCCTCAGCAGGGCCCAAACCCTCTAATCCCCACTGGACATGTAACTAATGCCAGTACCAGCCCCAGGACGAGTGTCACTCACCAGGGGTTGGAGAAAACGCCATAGACCCTCGTGTCCCTCCACTGGCCGTTAGGGTCAGGGAGCAGGAAGACGTCCTGCAGCCTGTTGAAGTTCTTGTTGGTAGCGGCGTCGCTGCACACCAGCATGGCTTTCAGGAAGGTGTTCCACTTGGAGACAGACAGCGAACTCTCGCCACCCTGGTCCCCCTGGAAGGTGGTCGGGGAGCCCCCTTAGTACCCACTTGGGCTGTCCCACACCCATGGCTCCTGCTCCCAGGCTTCCAAGGGGGAAGGGAGGCTCTGAAAGGGGCCGGGACCTGCCAGGGGATGAGGCTGAGGTGCCCCATGACTCAGGCCAGGTTCTTGGGCCGGGCTCCAGCCAGCAGGCCTGGCTGACCCAGGCCACAGGGCCCACAGTGGGGACCTGCAGGGTGAGGATGTCAGGTCCCCACAGGGCGCACTGGCTCAGACACATCTGTCCATTCTCACACATTCACATTCACACACACGACACAGACCTGAACATCCCAGCACCTTCACACGTGAAAGACACACACGTCAACACACGCTCATACTCAGGCACATGCCCACACACACTCTCACACGAAAACACGCATTTGCACCCTCACACAGACACATGAGCCCAACCATTTTTACTCACTCACAGATGCACGGACCCTCCCGTGCACACATTTCCTCCCACAGTTCCACAGTCTCACTCACAGTTTGCACACAGGCACTCACCCACTCACGCGCTCCTACTCAGGCACAGACACATACCCTTGCCCACTCAGCACCCACTCACCTTGCACAGCTGGGCCACGCGGGACACGTTGAGAGGGGCCTCGGGATTCTTGTCAGGATTGTCCTCTCGGAAAAAGTAGTAGATCTTGTCATCGTAGGCGTGGTCTTGGTGCACGATGGTGGCCTTGATGAACTGCGGGTCTGCCGGGGACAGAGGTGAATGGGTGCGAGGCTGGGAGCCTCTCAGAGGACGCATTCCAACCCTGTACACCCCCTGAGTCTGCACAAACAAACCCGGACCAAATCAGACCTGGAATAAAACTCAGAACATCGGGCCCAACTCCCCAAGGTGTTGAACAACCTGCACCCCAACCCCACACCTGTTTTGCCCTCTCCTACAAAGACGTCATCGGCCCAGGAGCAATGACTTCATGCCTGGGGACTCAAGGGAGGTCCCTGGGGGCCCCTACGTCACTTCTGCCTAATTGGCAGAGCCTTAATGAGGAGGAAGGGGGTGTTGCCCCCACATGAGCTCTGCAGAGGGACACACTAGGGCTCCCGGGGACCCTACATTGGGCCTGGGTCTTCCTCTGTCTTGTTCCCAGAGGGTGCTCACCATCCTGCATCCACATCTTTGTCTCTGCTGTTCCCCTGCTCCCTGTCAGGCCAACCTCCTCAGCCCTGCCTACACCGGACTGTACCAAGCTCCCACTTTGCCAACTGGCCTGTGGCCCCAGCGGCCCTCGGGAAGCCTTCCCTGGAACCTAAGGAGCCCAGCCACCTCCCTGGGCGTTCGCACCCCTTCACCCAGCCCAGCCCAGCCAGAGGCTGACTCACTTTGCATGACAGTATCACTGGTGTACAGCTCGATCTCGCCCTTGATTCGGCGGAACCGAGGGATCTTCCCATTGTATTCCTGCTTTCGGATGGTAGAGTACACTTCGTCCCCTGGGCAAGTGGGAGGGGCATGGTAAGTCCTCCTCTGGGCCTGGGCCCCTGGGCGTGGAGCTGACCACCCTCCCCGGGCCCAGGGCAGCAGCCCTCTAGGGGCCCTCCCGCTCCAGCCACAGCCCTACCGTCAAACAGAACCAAGGAGTTCTCATCCGGGCTGAAGGGCGCATAGCCTTTCCTCTCACCAAGCAACATCACAGTGTCATTTACCTGGGGGAGACCAAGGGGGTCAGAGCACCACGTGATCCCATGGCCACTGCCTCCCATGGGCACCAGCTTCCCCCTCAGGGTGCCCAAACTCCCAGGAATTCTATACAAGATGAGGCCAGCTTCAGAGTCCCCCCACCCCCTTCCCACCAAGGCAGGGCAGAAGCCCACCCAGACAAGGGAGAGATGACCAGGTACATGGGGAGGGGCCTTCTCACCAGGATCCAGCAGCTAGGTCGCCGGGCATTGGTGCCGCAGACCAACAGCCCCTCACCCTGCTTCTCCAGGAGCGTGATGTAGTTCTCGCAATCCTGCCCAAGAGAAGGGGAAGGAGAGAGGGTGGCTGGAAGGCCCTGGAAGGCCTACCACTAGGTCCTTCAGTACTGGGGAAGAAGGCGTCAAAAGTCTGAGTACAGGAGCAGCTTCCAAGGAGAGCCCAGAGAGGGTGCAGCTGATTCTAAGCCCCACCAAGAACAGGGGTAGGGCACAGAGGCCTCGGGGAAGGGGAAGGAGCGTCTCCCCGCAGCCTGGGAACCCTAAGGCAGGGCTACCTCTCTCCTCCCAGACTTGGGCTCCCAAGGCAGGGCCACGCCTCCTTCCTCAGACTCTCAGAGAATCTCATCCCTTTTCCAAGGGGCTTAGCCTCCCCCCTGCACCCCTCTCCCCGACTCACCCGCTTGTCTCGGCAGGACCCCTTCGTGGAGTTAATGTTCACCTGGGGAGAATGAGGGGAACATTAGTCCACTCTGCCAGGGGCAAGATGCCCCTGTAAGTGCTTTCCAAGCATCTTCAGGACCAGCTCATTTGGCAGATAAGCAACTAGGGCTCTGAGAGGGGGAGTGAGTTACCCAAGATCACACAGGCTGCTCAGCCTAATAACAGGGCCCAAAGCCCAGAGCTCGTGGGCCAGACCAGAGATGTCAGAAGGCAAGGGCCAGGGGATTCTGCAGCCTGGGAGCTTCCTGCCTGGGCCTCCCCAGTCAGTGCTAACCCCCCGGCCAGGTGCATGAGCTCCCGCTTTTCTCCACACCATCCCAATACCCACGCCAATCAGACCACCTTCAGGGAGCCTCCCCGGGACCATTTATGGGATATGGTAGGTGGTGGATCAGTTTCAGAAGAGATGCCAGCTCTCATGGGTTCCCTGAGGCCCCTCACCAAGGCCAGAGGGGAGACAGGAGGGACGGGGAAGGGAGAAGAGAGAAGGGGACCGGGAGAGGGGTCCAGGCTCACCATGTGTACCGAGGCGTTCTTGCCCTTGGGGAAATCAAAGAGATAGAGCTTGCTGCGTCCCCCAACCCACACGGAGGAGCTGCCAGGCTCATGGAAAAGCACCGTGTGCGGCTCAGCTGGGCCGAAGTCTATGTGGTCCTGCCGCGCATGGCCTAAGAAGGAGACAATTGGCAGAAATGTTGAGGCTGAGACCTGGGCTAGAAGACCCTGGACCACCCCCTAGCATCCACCTAGCAACTAGTGCTTAAATCTGGCAACGGCGGCTCCAGCATTCAGAAAAATGAGAGGTCCTCTGGTGGGGTCCGGCCAGCTATCCTCACCCATAAGCCACGGCCCCTACCCTACAACACGTGTGACTTCAGAGCAGAGGCAGGGTTTATGGACCTCTGGGGAGAACACACTCCTCACACACACACTCTGCTGTTCTAAAGCGGCTGGGCTCAGGCAGGAGGGACCAGAGCCCCCCAGCTCTGCTCCATGAGACCCTCTGCTGCCCAGCACAGAGCAAGCAGCCACCTCCACCCCCTGCAAGAAGCCCACTTATATTTCAGGTTCCCAGGAATTCCTTTGCTCACAACCCCACCCCCTCCTTCAGGAAGCCCTCTCTGACCCGTTCTGGCCCACCCCATCCCCTTAATGAGCAGGTCAGTATGGAAAGATTAGAGCTGGAAAGGGATCTTAATATCTACTCCCTCCCATTTTACAGATGGAAAAAGAGAGATCCAGAGAGAAACAGCCCAAGCCCACACGGTCAGTGGCAGGCCATGAACCAGAGCTCCTGCCCCCACGCTGGCTAGTTTCACAGAGATACCAGCTCCCACAGGGGGAAAGATCAGCCCTCCCTCCACAGCACCACCGGGACAGGGGGTTCTTCACAGAGCACAGCCTGGGCTTTTAAGCAGAAGGGCTGATCCGGACAATTTTGCCCCGAAAAGAAACTATCTTCAGCCACTGCCTCTGGGGAGATGTCTCATCTCCGGTGACATTGCTGAGGTTGTCCTGGTTGCAGGACTAAATTATAGGGATGGGACAGCCTGCGGCTGTGCCCCCAGCAATCAGGCACAGCCAGCATCCTCCCACCTTATCCAGGAACTCGGCCTGACCGCTATTTACTCAGCTGCAGCCAGCTCAGCAGTGACACCCAAGCAGGACACCCTCCAGCCCAGACAGAAAACGACTGCCATGTCCTCGAGTTTGCCCCAAATCCCCCTTGGTGCCACTTGAGCCATTCCTACTGATTCTGCATTCAACAGGAACAAAGAGCACTGCCCTCCACGCGACCCCCACCTGCATTCCCTTTCCCTCCACGGCCAAGTCGTCCCTGGAAGTGGGCTGTTTTCACCCTGCACCTCAGCTGCGGCCCGGCTCACTGTACAGAGGTGCAGCCCAAGGTCGCACTAGGAGGCAGGACAGACTGGCTCGCCTAGACTATGGGTTCTGAGACACACTCAGGAAGATGCCAGCACCGTGGGCCAGAGAAGCGCTGAGCTCTCTGTCTTCGGACTCACCTGGCTCTCCCCGGGTGCTCTGCAAACAGCCTGACAGCTCAGAATGTCAGGCCTCCCTGCACTCCGAGGCTGGGCTGGCAGGGGCTGAGAGCCCACTCCCTGCTGGGCAGTGAGGGTCTGGCAGGCCCGGGCAGGGCTGGCAGGTCTCGGACCCAGGCTCCCCTCCCCCCAAGCTGGGATAAAATTAGAGCTCTAGGATCAGGCAAGGCCTTCCTGACTCAGCTCCCTTGCTCCCCTTTCGCCCACAGCCCGAGCAGCAGCCCCCATCCCTGCAGCCTAGCCCACAGTCTAGACAGTCTGTAGACCCCGCTCCTGACCTACTCCCCCAGCCAGCCCGGCGGCCGGGAGAAGCTATGTGTCTGTGTCTGAAGACCTTGGGCTGGAGGCCGAGCGCTGAAGCCCCACCGGAGGCCAAAGCGGGGGAGCCCCGCGGCTCAAATCATGCTGGCCACCTCCACCAGTCACCTCAGCTCACACCAAGGCCACAGCCCCCAGGCTCAGAGGAGGGGCCTGCACAGCTCCAATGTGGGGAAAGAGGCTTGTGACAGGGCCCTGAAGGAGCCCTCGTCTGGGGTCACAGGGCCATCCTGTAAGGATGAGATCAGTCCTGCCCTGGGGAGTCTAATCTGATGAGGGAGACAGAGCCTTGCCTTGGGGAGTCTAGCCTAATGGGAGAGACACGGCCCAGCCCTGGAAAGTAAGGTTTGAGTGGAAGGCCTGGCTCTACCCTAGAATCCAGCTGGAGGGGAGAAACAACCACACCAAAGCAAGCCTCCACACCGCTCCAGCAAAACTGTTGGTGTAGACCCCAAGGCTGCTCACAAAGTATTTCTGAGAGCACAGAGGGAGGGTGAGGGCTGCCTGCTGCCGGATGCCGCACGGGGAGCTGCTGCGCCAGGATGGTTCTGCACAGGTCTGCGAGCGTGAGACCCGTTCCCTTCAAATCCTGGCTGTGGCTGCCAGGGTCAAGGGATGGCAGGAGGCAGGGGCTGCTCACCTCACTCTGCAGAAGAACAAACAGGAGCCCTGGAGCATTGCCTCCCTTGACCCCGAGCACCCGCCCCCCTGCTCCCGGCTGTGCGCCTGGGATGTGTATTGGGAGATGGCACCAGCTCGGCCCCAGGACAAGGCCTTGGCCCATTCTCCACCCCAGCCCTAGCCTGGCTCCCGCACTGCCCGAGGCCCTCAAAGGGCCTGATTGTGCCGGGGAAGTGTCTGAGCGGCAACAGCTCGATGAATACATGAAAGGAAGCTTTGTTCAGGTCACAGAAGCGGGGGCTGGGGGCTCAGGGGCAGGAGGGCTGCCTGGAAGTGAAGGCAGCAACCAGCCTTCCCGGCCAGGATCCGTGGCCCCATGGCACCAACACTGAGAGGGCAGGGCCAGGGAAGGCTGGCGGTCAGGGGTCCACCCAAGCAGGCACTGAGCAAGGCCAGGGCTGCCCCTAAAGAGGCCCAGCCAAGGGAGCAAGTGTCACATCTTTAAATGTGTCTTTTTGTTTCCTTAGGAATCTCAAGGGATGGGGGAGGCAGACCAAAGCTAGACGGGTCAGGAACAGGCAAGAAGAAAACTCCAGGCAGCAGAAACAGCCTGAGAGAACATGGGGAAGCTGACTGTACGGTAGGGACAGAGACCTAATGAGAGAAGAATCGGAAAGGTGGGCTGAAGCCCCGAGCGTGATGCGGGAAGGGAGATGCGGAGGCCCATGGGTACACCAACCCACTGCCCATCAGTCTCCAGAGCCGCCGCCTCCTACCTGTGAGCGCGGCCAGGGTCGGGAAAGCCTCCCTCCCTCCTCCAGCACCCCCCACTCCCGCCCCAGCTCCCCCTGCCTGACCAGCCCCCTCTGCTTCCTATCCTGCATGTCTAAAAGGAGCACCGTCTGGCACTGTGTCTCCCCCCTCACTCCCCGGCCTGACGCATTAGTGGCTGACTAAGTGGTAGCTAAAAGCTCCCAGAATAACCAGGGGTTCAGACAGGGGGAGGGGGCTAGGGTGGGCATGACCCTAGAGGCGGACCAGGTACAAGACCCTCCCCCCCACCCCCATGTGATTCTGAGCCAATTCTGGCTCCTTCTGGACCAAGAAATGGCACACTCAGGCTGCCCTGTACCCAGCTAGACTCCGTGGCCCCCTGTGCCCCCACCTTCCTTCCAGTGGGAGGACGCACAAGGCCCAGCCCAGCCCCGCCCCAGCTAGAGATGAGGGTCAAAAAGATGGCTGGGTGTGAGGGTCAGTTCCCCTCTCTGAGTCACAGACCCCCAGCCAGGCCATCCATGAGGCTCTGGTCCTGCTGGAAGGAATCAGACCTGATGCTGCTCATAGCCCCGACCCTCCCACCACAATCCCAGGGGCCGACTGGCTGGAACAAGTGTGAACTTGTGTGGGGTGGGTTTTCCTAAAGCAGGCTGCCTGGTGGAGCATCATTCCTCCTCATTCACTCTGGGTGCTGCCACCACCTGGTCTCCGCCATCCCCATACCCTCATTGCTTGTGAGAGAGGGCTGCTTGGGGGAGGGTGGAGTGGTGGCTAGAACGCGGGGGGGCGGTGTTGTTATCTGTCAAGGGTGCAACAAGGGATGGGCCCCACAGTCTGGTCTGGGCAGGGACAGCATTCCAAGCTGACCCACTGACCTGACAGGCCTTGAATGCTAACCTCAAAGAGCCCTTTGAGAGCGGCAATGAGGTGGGCCCTGAGAATGGCAGGAATGCGGTGCCCAGCAGGGAATGCCTGAGTCGTTGCAGCCAGGGAGGCCCAGGCATGGGGCAGGAGCCAGGCCAACCTCTGACTGGGGGCTCAATCACATCTGGCAGGAGCCTCCTCCCAAAGTGGTACCCCACCCTGAATCCCCGAGCCCACCGCACACCTTCACCAGAAGAAGAGGGAAGGCCCATGAGGGGCCTAAGAATTAGCCTGCAGCCTTTCCACCTTTTGGAACCCACACCCCACAGGTCAAGGTGGAAGGGAAGAGAAAAGTCACTGAACTGAGGGGGCATGGAGGCCACAGAGCCTGTGCCACTGGCCCAAGGCACAGAGCAGGGGCAGCAGAGGAGGAGCCAGGCTGTAGTTCAGGCTCTCTGAGCCTGGCAGGACAAGGTTCCTGACAGCTGCCTGGCAGGGGTAGAGCCAGTGCGCAGGGCAGGTGGCACAGGACAGGGCGGGCCCTTGAGGCAGTGCTTAGCTCCCAGGGGCGTGGGGGTGTGCCTCTCCTTATCAGCTGTGGGAACAGTGAGCTGGGCCAGGGAGGAGCATCTTCCCACCCACCAAGGTCAGCCATGGGCGGGAGGGGAACATACCTCAGGTGTGGGCTCAGCCCTGGTTCCAAAGAGCCTTGTGCTCCCTTTGGCAGCCAGGTGGCTAGTTAGCCATGACCGTGACCAGGAGCTGGGCCTTCCTGAGTTTGGTTTCCTCCTCTTTGGATTGGAGGGGCTGGTACTTGCTAAGGTCTAGGTTTTATGACCCATCATGACTTTTGGAACAAAACAATCAGGGTGGCAGATTTCCGAGCAAGATGGCAGAGTGGTAGGACCACGAGCTTGCCTCTCCACGCAACTACAGCGAAACCACAACTGAATGCTAAACAACCATCAAAAAAAGACTGGAACCTAGCAAAAAAGATCTTCTGCAACTGGAAACATAAAGAGGGAATCACAGCAGGATGGTAGGAGGGGCGTGCTCATGATATAATTGGGCCCCATACCTCCCGGGTGGGCGACCCACAAGCTGAAGATTTGTTAAGTCGCAGAGGCCCTCCCACAGGAGTGAGAGCTCTAAGCCCCACGTCAGTTCCCCCAGCTTGGGTTCCAGCATTGGGAAGAGAAGGTGACCCCAGGACATCCGATTCGAAAGGTCAGCGGGGCTTGGCTCTGGGAGCCTCACGGGACTGGGGGAAACAGAGACTCCATTCGCTTGGGAAGCGTACACAGAAACCCACGTGCACCAGGTCCAAGGGCAGAGGCAGTGATTTCACAGGAACCTGGGTCAGACCTGCCTGTTGGATTTGGAGGGTCTCCTGAGGACGTGGGGGACGGCTGCGGCTCACTCAGGGGACATAAAAGCTGGCGGCGGACATTCCAGGAGTGTTCATCTACTTGAGCTTTCCTGGAGGCTGCCACCTTGATTGAATCATTAGCACCAAGACCTAGCGCCACCCAACAGCCTGTGGGGAAGCCTCAGGCCAAACAACATACAGGGTGGGAGCACAGCCCCACCCATCAGCAGGCTTCCTAAGCAACAGAAGCCTCTAGACACAGCCTTACCCACCAGAGGTCCAGGACCAAGCTTCCCCCAGTAGTGAGCAGGCACTGGCTCCTCCTGCCAGGAAACCTGCATAAGCCTCTAGTCCAGCCTCGTCCACCAGGGGCAGATACTAGAAATAAGAAAACAATAATCCCAAAGCCTGTGGAACGAATCCACAAACACATAGAAAGATAGATGATATGAGGTGGCAAAGGAATATCTCTCAGGCCAAGGCACAAGATAAAATCCCAGAAGAAATAAGTGATGAGGAGATGGGTAATTTATCTGAGAAAGAGTTTAAAGTAATGATGGCCAAGATGTTCAGAGAACTCAAGAGGAGTACAGAAGAATAGAGTGAAGTTTTTAGCAAAGAGTTGGAAAATATAAAGAATACCCTAATAGAGTTGAAGAATAAAATCACTGAAATGAACAATATACTACAAGGAACCAAGAATAGACTAAATGAGGCAGAAAAACAGGTCAGTGAGCTAGAAGACAGATTTAGTGGAAATCACTACTTCAGAATAGAAAACAAAAAAGGAATAAAAAGGAATGAGGATAGTTTATTAAGAGAACTCTCAGACAACATGAAGTGCTCTGATATTCGCATTATAGGGGTCCCAGAAAGAGGAAAGAGAAAGAAAGGACCTGAGAAAATTTGGGAGGAAATAATAACTGAACACTTCCCAACTTGGGAAAGGAAACAGTCACCCATGTCCTGGAAGACAGAGAGTACCACACAGAATCAACCCAAAGAGGAACACACCAAGGCACATAGTCATCAAATTGACAATAATTAAGGATAAGGAGAAAATATTAAAATTAGCAAGAGAAAAGCAACAAATAACATACAAGGGAACTCCCATAGGGTTATCAGCTGGTTATTCAGGAGAAATGCTACAAGCCAGAAGGGAGTGGCACGATGTATTTAAAGTAATACAAGGGGGAAACTTAAAACCAAGAATACTCTATCCAGCAAGGCTCTTGTTCAGACTTGATGAAGAAATCAAAAACTTCACAGGTAAACAAAAGCTAAAAGATTTCAGCACCACCAAACCAGCTTTGCAACAAATGTTAAAGGACCTTCTCTAGTCATCTAATCATAAGAAAAGAGAACAAAAAAATAGAAAGAGAGAAAAAAAAAAAAAGACCTATGAAAGATTGCTTTGACTGTTTCGGGTATTTTGTGGTTCCTTATAAATTTTGGAATTGTTTGTTTTTAGTTCTGTAGGGAATGTCGTGAGTATTTTGATGGGGGTTGTGTTGGATC